CCGCGCGCCGCCCCCGCTGAGCCCGCGCCCGCCGGGGCGCCGCCCGGCACCATGGTGCAAAAGTCGCGCAACGGCGGCGTGTACCCCGGCCCGAGCGGGGAGAAGAAGCTCAAGGTGGGCTTCGTGGGGCTGGACCCCGGCGCGCCCGACTCCACCCGGGACGGCGCGCTGCTCATCGCCGGCTCCGAGGCCCCCAAGCGCGGCAGCATCCTGAGCAAGCCGCGCGCGGGTGGCGCGGGTGCCGGGAAGCCCCCTAAGCGCAACGCCTTCTACCGCAAGCTGCAGAATTTCCTCTACAACGTGCTGGAGCGGCCGCGCGGCTGGGCGTTCATCTACCACGCCTACGTGTGAGTGCCCACCCGCGGGCGGCCGCTCGGGGGTCGCGGGGCACGGCCGGGGGACCGATCGGTCGCTGGAGGCCGCGGGCGCGCAGCTGCGCGCGATGGGGGAGGCTCTCTGTGCGCGTCCGAGCGCCGGCGTCGGTCACACCGCGTGCCTGGGTCCAAGTCAGAGGACTGTGTCCCCTGGTTAGAGCGAAGGGCGGAGACTGGAGAGCGAATTCAGAGAGATCAGGCAGGAAGGAGTTCTGGGGTCCGGGCATTCAGGTCGTGGTGGGGGCGTCCGTCCCCCTCCCCCGCCGGCGGCCTGGCTGGGTTGCATCAGCCCCTCCCCCGCAGGATGGGGAGATGTACGGGCGCCCCAGCCTCCCCTCCTCAGCCCGAGAGGCCCCTCCCCAAGGCCGCCGCATGGAACAAAGGGCCGGCCAGGGAAGGAGGGCGGCGCTGCCGGTCCTGCCACTGGATCTGGACTCCTGGGGGGCCCCCTCTGGGTTGGGATCCCCCAAGGAAGGGTAGATGGCCTACCCTCCCCCATTTCCCCGAAGCCGCTCACTCTCCATCTGGGGTGAGCTTCTGGGTTGCTGAAATGGGGGAGGGTCCTAACGTTTCTCCCCTCCCCCAGCCTCAGCTGAGGGCAGCGGCTGTCCTGCCTGTGGTGCCTGCACTCCTCCCTCCCCTCTGCCCAGCGCAGCCCTGACCTCTCTCTGCAGCTGCCGGCTGGAGGAGCAGGTGTATGCCTGGTGCCCCCTGTGCACATTCTGGGCTCTGGATCCCCTCCTTGGCAGAGTGGACACCAGGAGGAGGGTGCCGCTGTCCTGGGGCCGGCCAGCCCTGGCCCTAGAAGGGGCTGTCAGTCTCCCCAGGCCTGGTATTTGGAGAACTTCTGGCTCCTGGGGTAGGGCCGGCGGCCGTGAGCTCGCATTGTGTGCACATGGGTGTTCGTGTGTGCGGTATCTGTGCAGGAGTCGCTGCGTGTGCGTGCGCGGCCTCTGAGCATGTAGGCGCTCTCTCCCATCCCAGCTAGACCGGGGCTGGGACTCGGCCATTTTGTATGAAAGAGGCCTTTTGGGATGGGAGTGAGGGGCGGATTCTGGGTTACCGTCTCCAACCAAGTGCCTACCTGGATGAGAGGGGTGTGTGTGTATGAGTGTGCCCACGTGAGTGTGTGCTCTGGACAGACCCTCCATGGGGTGAGGGAGAAGACCCCGGGAGGGAAATGCCAGGCCGCTGGCGGGGAGGGTGTCTGGGGGAGACCACGGCCCTGGGGACCCCCTGGGCCCTGTCCCCAGCCTCAGTGCTGAGCCACTCTGGGAGTCCCGAGAGGTAGGGGCTTCCCCAGGACAGTGAGCGCCAGCCCCCGCCTACCCTGGAGAGATGGCTCCGGCTCTTCCTGGCAGGCATGCTCAGGTGAGCTCTTCACGCTGGGAAGAGCCCTGTGTCTCCTTGCCAGTGGCCCTTCCACCACCACCTCCTTCCCCCCTGGCTGGGGCTGAGGGGGCTGCTGGTGGGACTGGCTCTGGTCAGCCGGGTCCTGGCCTGAGGTGACCTCCAGTACGTAGATGGAGCCTGCCCCACGGTCCAGCGGCTGGGGCTGCCCAGTCTGACCCGTGGTGTGGCTGCCAGAGGGTTCTGTGCTTTGGAAACAAACGTCCCTGGCTGGCAGCATTTCCTGGGGGTCCTGTCTGTGTGGCCCCGTCCCCAGCCCTGAGTGGCCTTTCCCTGCCCGGGCCTGAAGTGGTCAGCCCCTCTGTGCCTCCTGCCTCCTGAGAGCTGCAGCGTCCAGCACCGGAAGCAGAGTGTATGGGGAGCCCGAGTCGGCTGCTGCTCTGGCGGGTGTGGGGTCTATGTCTCCACCTCGGGGATCCCTGAATCAGGACGGGTAGGCCCGAAGCGCGTGGGGGGTGTAGGGGCGTCGGTCCTCGCTGTCAAGGCAGCCCTGCCCTTCAGCCTGCTCAGGACCCTCCTCTGCCCCTCCACCGAGGGTACAGGGCTTCCATGAACTCCCTCCACCCCAGCTCACCGGCAGGGGGGCTCAAACTTGGGGAAGGCAGCCCACTAGCAGGGGGATTTCTTCTGGGGAGTGGGGTAGGCAGAGGGGACAGTGCTTAAGAGCAGTGGCCTCTGTTGGGTTAGGCACTTCAGTCTAGTCACAGAATCTCTGCAGGCCTGTTTTCCTGTCAGGAAAGTGGGCACAGCTGCTCCTTGGCCCCAGGGTGTTGTGGAGATGAACTACGTGGGCGTCTGCTCCCCCAAGGCTGGCCAGTGGGCTCTCTCTGAACGGTGACACTCTCCCTCCTGCTGTTCTTGCTCATCGCCCGGCCCCCAGGTCTCCAGAGGAATTCTCCAGCCCATCCTTGGGGCCCGGCCCCACCCAACCTCCTGCCCTAGGCCCGTGTTTCCCGAGGGCGTGGCCGCCCCTGTGCACCCCCTTGCCCAGCATGGACAGGCCTGTGTTTGTGCATCATTTAGTTTGTTGATTCATTAATTAAACGAAGTGCGAGCCCCCTCTTCCCACTGGGTGTTGAGTGGGGCCTGGAGAGGCTGGTGGGGATGGGGACAAGGCCTGAGGCCGGCAGGCCTGCTGCTGCAGCCTGTCCTGGCTGGAAGTGAGTCCTCGGGTCTGGGGCTGCCCTGAGCCCCCTGCGCCACCTTTCTTCTCCCTTTGCCACCAAAGCCTGGCTGCTGTAAGGTGGAGCTATGCCAGCCCCTTGGGGGTCCCAGTGGGTCCTGGGGGCAGCTGCTGTCAGAGGCGGGGAGGGAGGCGGTGTCTCTGTGGCCCCCAGGCTTGGTGGGTGTCAGGCCAGGTCTCCCCCTGCCCTCTGTGGAAGGCGCTTTCTCTGCAGATGTGCCTCTGGGTGTGGAGCCACGGCCGTCACCGCCTCCACTTGGGAGCTTCTCCAGGCTTCCCCGAGTCAGGAGGGATCAAGACTGGCCGAGGTGTGGGCCTGCCCAGGCAGCAACAGCTCAGACTCGCTGCTCCCAGCCCTGAGCACTGGAGGGTCCCTCCCTCTGCCTGGCTGGATGGAGTGTAGGCCCTGGGTAGGCAGAGCCCGCCCCGAATGACTGCTCACCCAGATTTGGGTGGGCAGCCCAGGCTACCTGTGGATCCTGGATGAAGCCACCGGGGCCGGGGTGGATTTCTGGGTGGGCTGGGTTTGGAGGGTCCCACTGTGTTGTCAGCAGTGGGCGAGGAGCTGGGCTGAGTGGGTGGGGAAGGGGTGCGCTGAGCAGCAGGCAGCTCTGTAGACCCTCTTCCCCACTGCCTGCCCTCACACCTGTGGGGCAGTTCTCAGGGCTCAGAAGGTCTGTGCCCCCCAGAACAGGGGCGTCTGTGCATAAGAGGATTTTCTAGGTGTGGGTCTGGAGTTTCCGTGAGTTTCTCAAAGCGAGTGTGAGCCACAGAAATGGCCCCAAACCACCAGTGCAGGGAGGTGCGTCTGGGCAAACGGGGCCTGTGGGGTTGCTCATCTGCCCCAGGGAAGTCTGCGGAGGGGTCCTTTGACTGGCTGGGTCGGGCGTGCCAGCCGCCCTCTTGTACTCTATGGGAGCCGAGGTTACTCCATCACGGGGAATCTCCTCTGCCTGGTCTGTCTGTGGCTCAAGGGAGGAGTGGAAAGGGAACTGCACTCATTATGCGCCTGCTGTGTGCTGGTCTCAGGTATTTCTCACTGTGAGCCTGTGAGAGGCTCCTGTCGCCCCATTTTCACTGGTGGGGAAACTGAGGCCGAGAAAGGTTGAGTGAGTCCAGAGTTGTCCCACTCAAGCCGAAAGGGGGTCTCTGCCTTAGAGACGGAAGCTTGGGTGCAGATTGCTTGACCTTTCTGATGTCCGAAAGCCACTTTGAGTTGCCAGGATGAGACTGTGTTTAAAGCAGGGTGGATGGAAAATGCCGTGAGGGCAGCTGAGGGGCTGAGCCTTGGAGGCTGGGGCTCGCTCCACAGCCTCACTTTTGTGAGTTGTAGTCTCTCGGGGTGGGCCACCAAGCCCTCTCAGTCCTCAGACAGCGTCCAGTGTGCCTTTGGAGGCCTTGGCGGTTCAGGGGCCTGTGGCTGGGGCTGTGGCAGTATCTCTCGCTTCACAGCAGTGGGCTGGGGTCCAGGGCCTCAGGGCCCTGCTCCAGTCCCCTGCGTGGCCTTGGATGACCCAAGTGGGGTCACACTTTTGGTTGCCCACGGGCCACCCGCTGTCCCGTCTCTCCGCCTTGGTCTTTGAGGGGCGAGGCCTGGCCTTTGAGGGGCAAGTGAGGCAGGGGAAGTGGCCAGGGTCCCATCTCCGTAGGTTTCCAGGAGACTAGAGTCTGATGGCCGTATTCTCAACATCTTCCGAGTCCCAGACCTCCCTGCAGTCCTCCTGAAGAGGAAATGTCTCTGACGGTAGAGTTGGGGAATCTTATGGAAATTTCCCAAAAGGCGAAAATGCCTGGAGGGTGTGGTTTCCAGGGAGACGTGGGCTCACCAGACTTATCCTCGGGCCTCCCTGTGGGATTTCGCACCCTTGCCAAATAGTTTAAAGTGCAATTACTCCATGACAGTAAAATATTTTTTAGTCTCTGTGTCTAATTACACTGTGAATTAAATCTCCACAAACACTCTGTGTCTGCCAGGTGACAGGGGAGGATGCTCAGTTCTCAGGGGTTCACAGACTGCACCAGAGGCCGTCTTGGTTTTATTAGAAGTCAGGAAAAGTCAGATACTCAGACTGGTCTCTATGGAGCCTCAGGAAGACGCAGCTCGGCCAGCGGGCCTGTGGGGCCTTCAACGTGGGCACCGCTGTGCATGAGGGTCCTTCAGCCCCACTCCTGGTGGGAGGAGTTCAGAACGTGCTCAAACCCTGGGATCGTTTCCTGGGATGTTTCTGAAGAAACCAGACACTTCCTCGGGCTGAGTCCTGGGGTGGGTGGAGGTTAAGGGGGGTTCTCCCCAGTTTGTCTTAGTCAGTAAACGAACCCACAGGTTAATTTGTTAATCCCTGTGCTCCTGCCTGTCCGCAGTGCAGGCCCAGTGCATCTG